TCAGAGATTGCATGAATGATTGCAGACTCAATTAGACTTTTGAAAATCCATTACCAAAAACGACCAGAAGATGACAAAACTGCCTCTATATCTAGAGTGAATGAGAGGTCGTGTTCAGCGAGGAAAGCACAAACCCTTATTTTTAACTCGCATACATGCTCCGGTACTGACGCTGGTAAATCAGCTGTTGCCGTAGCTACCGGCAAACGTGTAGTGTGTGCGACCGCACGAACAGCGCCTTGATGACCAGGGTCTAATTCATGTTTGCGTAAAACCTTTTTGCCTCTGGATGCGTAAATAAGCTTCCTGGAGCACAGCGTGCCAGAGTTCATGAACCGCATTCTGCCCACTCCATGCAAGTCTGTTCTCTCTATTGTCCTTTTCTCCAAACACGAAGTTTAATTTACGTATTATTTGACTTTTAACACGTCTCTTTGTTGAATGGAGCCATAAACCAAAAAAAGGTGACTTTCTGTGTAGAACTTACGTGTAGCACTGTATCACAATCTATCTGGTGACTTGAGCAAGAGGAGAAGGTTCACACTTACCTAAGACCCACACCCTTCTTCTTCTGTTTGGCTAACACTGTTAGTTTCAGGGTGCTCCTTCACTCCTTTTTTTTTACCCACAGGCAATCGCTACGAGCCGGAAACCCCCCTGGGGCCGGAATACTTTAATCTCTGGATACTGTGCCCTTAAAAAACCTGTGAAGTCACTGGTCACCAGAGGGAAACTTGCCCTATCATCTATAAACATCCCTTAGATGCATTCTGCATGACAAACTGGTTGTGAGGATTCCTAGGAAAGGTCTTTCTTTCTCCTGTCCTCACAAACGTGAACATATAGAGTTTAATAAAATCTATAAAAAGCACCAGAATAACTGGTGATGCTCAGATCTAAATTTGAGCTTTGAAGCAGCAAAGACTAGAGGTGGGTGGAGAGGTGTCAAACAATGAATGTGTGGAAAATCACCTTATGCCTACATAAAGGCACTGTGGAGGAATTGTGCATATAGGGCCAACTTTGCAGCCTAGTAAAGTAGCTCTCCACTTGCACGCTGAATGAAAACAAAACCTTTAATGAGTAAATATCTTCAAATGAAAGGTTTGCATTTTGATCAGTTTTATGTTTTGTTGCTACAAGATTTATCTTAATAGGCTTTTTAGACAAGACAGAGATTCATCTTTTTGTTCAACCGAGCAGCTGATACCAACCAATCCTGGAGTAAACCTAAAAAATTATAGATATCATTTCACATTATCTGAGCTAAATGTAAAACTTGCAGCAGGACTTTGGTGCAGTGGTGTTAACTCTTTATCTCATGTAAAAAGCAAACTGCTTTATGCTGTTTTTAAATCTGTCTGATGTAACCTACAGTTTTTATTATTTCAAATAGTCTTTGCTGGCTCATATTCTTATCTTCAGCTACCACAGTATACATATCAGATTAAATAATACTGCTTATATTTCAGCGATAGTATCAAAGTGTTAATTTATTGTATCTCTTATACTATATCCGTTGGTTGTACTGCTCTTTTTACATTTCTTAGGTGATGAAGCAGACTGAAGATGTTTTATCGTTATCTCCCTTTTATCTCCTCTTTCTTTCATCTTTCTCCTTTTTTTCTATTTTTCCTTTCCTGTTCTACTTACACTGAATGATAAATAAATTATAATTAAGCTATTTATATGCATAAATCAACACTATGGCGATAGCCGTACTGCTCCACTTGTGAAAGTAAAATCTGTCGAGCTCTTTTTGGCATCAAGACAATTATTCTTATTGCGACACTGCTAGACAGGACACTGAAAAAAACAAACAAAAAAAAACTAGCCTTTGCTGATATTTTATGTACAATTTATATGTAATATTTTCTAACAGCTTTCTTATTTATCCATTTTTATTTTATTAATAAATATTTTTCCATTGTATCCTTGAATTTTTTTGTTTATCATATTAGGGATTTTTTTGATTAAATAAAGGTTTAATAATAATCACACAAGGATTAGGGTTGCTTTAGAATACATCAAAGCAAAATTTAAAGGTATTATGGAGGATTTTCGTGATTTAAAAAAAAAAAAAAACCACCATCTCCATATAAAAAAAAAAAATGAGCGTCCAAGAGCGTGTACGAGCCCATTTCTCCTGGTGCACGCTCTGTTTAACAGTTGCTGTTCTCATAGCTCATACCTGCTTGCTGTGCCGTCTGCCCTAACCCCTAAATCGCTCAGTCACTATATAGAGCGGGGACTTTATAGTGAACTCGGTTAACTGACCGTTCGGACAGATGATCACTGCTTTTTGCTCCGTAGGTTACATAACTCCTCCCCCACTGGAAGGTGCCTGCACCATCTCTGATTAGTCGCCGCTATCGGGTAGCAACAGCCTTTGCCTACAGCAGGCCACTGTTATAGGGGTACAAATAACAATCGCTTTGTATCGATGCGTCGATCCAACAGCCGATCAACACATTCGCAACGTGTTTTGTTTTTTTCCCTTTGGTCTATTTCATGCATTACCTCCTGGACGCAATTCTGACTCTGTGCTGCGGTGGCGCTAAATCTATTTTACCCTCCTACCTCGCTTCATTTAGCCACTACCTTCTTTCTGCTTGCAGTATTTTCTGATGCAAGGCCTTTTAGAATCTATAACACAGAGGCATTATTATTTTGCAGTGAATGAGGTTTTCATAGGCCTATGTGGAGTACAACTTTGGTACTTTTGTTATTTGCTGTTGTTTCTCAAATAAAATGCATAACAATATTACAGCTTATATTGATTTATTTCAAATTAGAAACATTGTTTAGCCTGTAAGGTTAAAAAATAAAAAATTAATCAAACCAAATCGTTTCGTGGTGTATTCTTTAGTTTTAAAAACAATCTAATCGTTGGGTCAGGAAATTGATACTGAATTGAATCGCCATTGGTGTGATTTACACCCCCTATGATGTGACAGCAAATCCCATAATGCTTTGAGAGGAGAGCTCTCCGTGCAAAGCATTCCGGAATATATCTGCCTCTTCTGAGGCCTTTCTTTTCTTCTCATACACTTCGTAGACACTTATGTGAGAAAGGTGAGCTTCAAAGACTGTCCGAATCCCTAGCTCACCACAGGTATAGAGCTGAAAGTGCACATGCAGAAAAAATTAGCTAACTAGGGACGAGCACGTAGGACGGCCTTACGTTAACATATCACCAGAATGATTGACAATTAGGAGGACCAATTTTTGAGATTATCTGCTTAGAAATAAAAGATCATCCTCTATACCTTTAAGTTAAATCATGTTTAAGAATAGAGATATTAAAAGGCTTTGGAGAAAAAAAAAAACATTTTCTGTTAATTTACATTAAGAAACAAATCATAAATTGGGTTAATAACATAAGAAATTCAAAGTAAACAACCTAATACGATGTTACCCTCTAAAAAGCAATCAAAATCAAAATTTGATTATGTATTAATAATCGAATAAAGGCCAGTTTCTTTTTTTCCTTTTAGACATCATAACCAGATAAAGCGCTTTTGTTCTGTAGAAGAACTACTCTCATTGTGACTCGACAGGAAGTGAGACATCAGTAACAAAGCCACAGTCTGATCGCCTCCACCAGACCCAAGATTTGCGAGATTTGTAGAAACCCCCCCCCCCACCCCGTTCTGTTTTATTTCCATCTACACTTTATGCAAATAAAGATCTGACAGCATAATTTCCAGGTTTACATTTAACTAGAGGTTTGTTCTGAAAGTAACTGGGTGGGGTTTGATTTTGCCGAGGTTATGGTTTTACTAAAAACTGTTACAGATTAAAACCAGATAAGTGAAAACAGCAGAACAACATTTCCTCTGCAGATTGTTTCTACATTTGACACTTTAACAAAGTGTTATTCTTACAGCAGTTAAAAGGTGTCACCACTAACATTCAATAAACCTTCACTGTGTCTCACTATAGAGCTGCAAACCTTGCAGAAAGTTGTTTTAGGCTGACATCATCCCAAACGTTTAACTAAGAGCTGAAACACATGAGCTATGCAACACAGACACTATACGGCGTTACTGTTCATGCTAGCAGTTAAAATGAACATCCAGTTTAAGCCTAAAAACATTGTGCCATTTGAAACAATGACATTAAAACGGAGGAATCCATCATTGAGATGATGGCACACAGTAGACAGGTCAGGGAGCGACACCATGGAGAACAACTTTGCAGCTCTTTAAAGCATCTGCAGAATTTCTGATGCATGCATAGGGCCCTATGAAATCCATTTTATTTTCCCCCAAATTCCGTTTTTTTCCGTTTTAATTTTTGAAAATTCTGTTTTTTCCGTTTTATGTATGTGTTTTTGCGCTTCCAATCAATGGAATGTTGACAAAACTTGCAAAACAATAGTTCACCTGACACGTAAAAGTCACGAGGGAACTGTTCGGCTCTGTACTCGGGGTTTAACGTCGTGTTTCTCAACTTTTTCGCCGAAAGTGGAGCTGTGGAGAGCCGCTTCGCCGTTTTTTCAATGTTTTGATGGGGGAAGGTGAGCGGAAATGACGGAGCGAGAGGGGTTGTGTCGTCCAGATTTGCGTCCCCCGGTGTGTATTTCCCCCCTGACGTACGTTCTTCTCCCACACAAAAACAGAACTTCATTTCAAATGTAGAAATTCCGCGTTTACACTAGATTCCGCGTTAATTTGCCAATTCCGCAATTCCGTCCGCGATTCCGTGATCGCGGAAATTATAGGGCCCTACATGCAGGGTTGGTGTGTAAGCTGGCAGAGCTAAACAGCTGCACAGAACAGGTGTCTGCTGACGTAATGGAGCATATTTGAATAATGCAAACCTTAATCAATCAGTCCTGCATACTCTGATTATAGATTTCTTGCTTAGCTCATTGTGTGTCTTACCATGGTTTTCCCACATTGGAAACTGATGCTGGTCTGAATGGGGTTATTGCCTTCGGAGCATGTCTCTGTGGAGTTGTAATCGAGGACGGTGCCAGAGAGCCTCTGCAGGGAAACATCACCTGGATAGCAAAAAAAAAAATATCAATACACACTGTTAGGAGTTTTATCAGCTAAAAGTTGATTAAATCCCAAACTCCATCTAGCAGGGGCGGATCCACAGGCTCATATTTAATGATTTTATCTCCAACAGACAGCTGGACTGAGTGTCCTAACCTCTTAAGCCATACCAAGTTCATTTTAAGATGTCAAACCTTAAGAAAGAGAAACTACTGTGGGAAAAACAGCAAAACATGACGAGTTCAGTTCTAGAACTTAACAGGTCAGTGGACTGAAACTCTGTAAAGTTAACAGTCTGTAAATATTTGACACTTGCAGGCAGAGAACAATTTATAAGACAGCAGAAAAAAAAATGTTACGCCTAGACTGCAAATATGAGAAAACAAATATGTTCCCTTGTGAATGAGTGAATGTTTTCTGTGATTTGATGCGTTTATGTCTTGGTGAACTCTGGCTTATGACAGGCTGATAACCCAGCAGGACAATAAAGGAGCATGACTGACTAAACTCAAAGACAGCAGCAGATAAGAGAAGTCTGTATGCTCAGCGTTCTGCTAAGAAAGCGTCGATTATCCTGAATTCTGGGATATATAAGTCATACGAAGCACTGGCAGGTGAGGGTGCAATTAATAAAATTGACCTGATATTAATAAACCAGTGTATATTTTCATTATGCTGTGTTTATGTACATGTGTTCTGAGATTGTTTTGTCACATGATATTTATTTTGTCATGTGATGATGACGCAAGCCAGGGTTGGAGTTTGTTTGACTATAGCAGAAAAGCAATGCTGCTCTTTAAAGGTGTTGATGGAGTAAAAGAGTAAGACACGTACATTATTATACTGAGTGAGGAATGGGAAGGTTTCTGGTTATGCTGTCTGCCTAATCTGAGCAGACAGCATAACCATAAGTGCTGAGCTGTATCACAAATACAGCCTCAAGCCAGCAGCGGTGTCTGCGCAGCCGATAGCTCCGATGATGTGTTCCTGGGTCATGTGAAAAGTCAGCCCCAGTTATTTAACTCAGAATCATCTGACCTCTGCTGCTTGGTCACTGTTGACTGATTCTTCCCCTTTGCATAAGACCTCTTCCTCAGTCCAACTTACTAAGCTACTAAATTAGTGCAATTATATAAAACAGCGACCAAACAAATCCTCCCTTTAGCTTTTGTTTTTGAATCAACAAGGCCTAAAGTGAGAGTGAAGACTTGGCTACTGAGGAATATCAGATATTCAACAGGGGACGGGTTGTGACCTCTGGCTGCAGGACAAGATGTTGTTTTAGGCCTAAAATAACTCTGTCTGGCTGCCAAAGAGGTCAGCAGAAGAATAAGGGAAGTTTTTAGCAGGCCTTACAATGACTAAACGCCGACACTGACTCAGAGTCCAAGCGAAATGTGGTACAGAGATTAATTTGAATAAATATTTGAGGTTTACAAAAATGAGTTAAATCAAGCAATATTTATTTCAATCATTGAGAACACATTTTACTTTAGTTCTCTGGCAATATGTTTATGCCTCCTCCCCACGCAGATGAACAGGGTTTGACAAATTCAAGAAAAAACTAATTGTGTGAGCAGGGAAGGATAAAGTAACAACAAAAACACTGTTACAGGTTCACCAGGCCTATAGGAGGCGCTATGAAACTTCAACAGAAGCAGGTAAAAATATAAGCAGGCAACTTTCTGAGGAGTAAACAGCAACATCTAGTCAATCAGACAAAGATTTACACATTTCTAAAGCCAATTTTTGAACAAAAAACAGAACAGCATCACTTCTCTTGTCGTCTGAGTGATTGAGCCACATGTGGGTTACCGGGAGAGATAGAGCTGTGATGTTATTGTTGAAGAACAGATCTCGGGTAAACATGGAGACTTGCAAATTGCGTTTTGAAAGGTTTCTCTCTGGGTTTCTAAAATTAGCATTATAATAGACAGAACAGTCTCCAAAAACACCGGACCCGTGTAACGAACTGCCTAAACAATGAAATACATTAGTGGATAACTACCACTCTGGTCACCACGGAGACGGGCTCTTAATCTGATGGTTTAATAGCTTAGAAAATAAAAAAAATCAGGAAGGGAAACAGAATAGATTAGCTAAAAACTCTTGCAGATATCAGAAAAGTAATGCTGCTGACAGCCTGATATTTCTGCCAAGCAGACCACAATCTGCAACATAAAGGTGTTCAGGGGCCTTAATATAGATTAAAAAAGGGTCATTTTATTTCACAATTAAAGAAAGGCATATAGCTGCTCAGTGGCACAGTGGTTAGCGTTGCTACCTTGCCGCAAAAAGGTTCTGGGTTCAATTCCAGACCCGGGTTCTTTCTGCATGGATTTTGCATGTTCTCCCTGTGCATGAGTGGGTTCTCTCTGGGTACTCCGGTGTTCTGTAAGGTGAGCGTACCCCGTCAGACCAGCATACCCATTGTCAATAGGCATGCCCAGGACATCAGATTTGAGTTTATCCCTTTAGTTTTGTACGAAAAATAAACTCTAAACTACCTCAACAGGTATGTATCCCTTTAGCCATGCACAAAAAAACTAACTATTCAAGGTCTGATCACAATAGGCTTCACAAAACACCAAAAAGTAAGTAATTAAATTGTTATTTTTTTGCACATGATTAAAGGGATACACACCCGTTGAGGTAGTTTAAAGTTTATTTTTAATACAAAAATAAAGGGAAAATATAAAGGGGTAAACAGGGATAAACTAAAGGGATAAACTGGTATTGACTATGGGTATACTGGTCTGACAAGGTATCCTCATCTGACAAAACACCAGCTTCCTCCTACAGTCCAAAAACTAAATTCTCCTTAGGTGTGAGTGTGTTTTATTTCTTATAAAACATATTCAAATAAAAGCAAAAAATTAAAATCTATCACACAAAACAATTCCAAGACCTACAACAGCCGCAGCTAGAAAATCTAAAGTTGCTGAGAAAACAACTCAACTGATTAATCAAATACAATAAGGTCGAAAATGATTGAAAAATGAATACATACTAGGAAAGCTAATGTTCGGTAAAATAATTTGAGCTTGTTTTTGTTTGAAGGAGCTCAGCGCCTGTCTGACTGGAGATGAGGATGCTGCTGACATACAGGTCAGGCAGCTCGTCCTGATCAGCACAGAAATAAGATCTCTGATGAAGCACTGATCCATACAGCGTCAGACCAATACTGTAGCTCAGTCAGCATTTATCAGAGCTGTTATAAACAGCAGCACCGAGATGGGCCTTAGTTTAAAGCAGCAGAAATACAAACTTAAACAGCAACTTTAAAATCGAATAGGAACATGATAAAATACACTGGTTCACAATACAAGGTTTCTGTTATTATTAAAACAAATTATCCAAGTAGTCTAGTTTAAGCAGGCCCCTGCTTAAAACCTTCTATGACTCTGTGGTGGCATCATCCCTTCACTACACTGCTGTATGCTGGGCCCCTGTCAGCACAGAGCGGGGCAGAAAGAGACTGAACAAACTAGTGAGAAAGGCCGTTTCTGTCCTGGGATTCCTTATCTTCTAATGTAACTGGGAAACCACCTCAATATATACATTTCAATCGGGGTATGAGATAAAAACTACACAGTTACACCATGTCCTGTGGCCTAAAGAAAATTTGTTTATTGCTATTTATTCTAAATATCTTTGCACCCATCATATTACCTACAGACATCTGGTCTAAAAATGAGCAGGACCTTAGAAATGAACCACAGCTACACCGTTTTCCTGTAATCAGCTGTGAAAAACTGACCAAATATTGGAAAATGACAGCAATAAAGATGCTATGAACCACAAGTTAAGCAAGAGTTTCTAGTGTTGAAGTTTTAAATACAGAGAAGGCTTGGGTTTAAAAAAAATCACTTAGAAAATGCTGTAAAATCCTACCCTGATAAACCAGACTAAATGTGAGATTAAATGTGTAATTTAGTCTGGCCTCGATGAATGAGACATCGGAAGATTGTTGATGGGAATGTAAACAAACAGCCTGTCGGTAAAACGGCGAACACGTCCTTCTTAAAAATGGATGAGCGTAGAGCCTCTTTCTGCTCACGATTCAACAAAAACTTTTTGTCTGCACCAACAACACCAAGTCAAATTCCTTGTAAGTGCAAACCTACTTGGCAATAAACTTGATTCTGATTCTGAAAACCCAAAGTCTAATCCTTCCAAAACTGATTCCAAAGCTACGTCAAACAAAAATTGTTCAATAGTTGTTGTCATCTTCCTTGTTTTGCTTTCTCCAGCGTTGCGCAGATTTGTCATCACGTCCTAAAAACCCCGCCCGCTTTGCATCCAAAAATCCAAAACACATCTCTGCGTTATGATTGGCCCGCCAGTTCTAGGGCCTGGGGCATTCATCAAGGCTAGACCAAACTCACAGGAAATTATTTTGGCCGCTGGTGGGTGGGGTTAGTTTACCAGGCTAGTAAAATCCGGATATATTTTACTTAACAGGAGGCGGGGTATCAAAGTACAGTAGGTGGAGGATTAAAAGAATAAAAAATACAGAAAATCAGGGGATAAATTAGGGACAATTTTCTGAAAAGCTGCAACAACAGTAACAGAATGAAGTCAATAATCTACAGAACATTTAAAAACAGAGGTGTAAACTTAGAAAAGTCTCTTGACTCGACTTTGACTCCATCAGTAATGACTTGTGCCTTTATCTAGTCTTTACTTAAAGGGCTTGACGCTCTCATTAAAGTCAAATATTTAAAGCAAAAAATAATCACAGTAAAAATAAAATCATTTGCTTCCTCGTGTCACAAAAGTTTGAGGGATAACTCAAGACTTGGCATGGTCTTGATTTAAAAATAAGCTCAAAGACTTGAGACTCACTTGTTGTGACTTAATGACTGTTGGGTCATAAGTCATGAGAAACATTTACATGGTTGGAAATGTTGAATGTGCGTATTAAATAAACGTGCTGCATAAAGAAGCTCCTGCAGATGGATGACAGCGAGATGAAACGCTGTCTCAGTCCACTGTACTCACCAACTGAGCGAGGTTCTCCTCCGTCGAGGTTCTGAGCGCACACTGCAACGCTCGCCCCGCAGCTGGTCGGGGGTGAGGACTCACAAAGTTTTATGGTGTATTTCACATTTCTGTCCTGGTCTACAGCCTCCCACTTATAACTGAAAGAGAAAGAAGACAAGTAGGAAAGAAAGAATTTGGGTGATGAGTGTGTGCAGATTTTAAAATCCTCATAAAGGCATTAAAAATGGGACTAAAGTAGCCAAACAGTGAGACACCCTTCGAATAGAATATGCAAAGAACTCATGTTTAAGATCAAAGCTTCCCTTTAGGTAAAATATCTGAATGATAAAGATTCTCCAGAATCAGGACACCTTCCAGTAGTACTGGAATGAGGTTAATCCTGGAGCATTTCTGACCATTAAGAGTTTCATTTCATTAATGTTTCTCAGAACAAACTGTCAAAACAAGTTAATGAGGGCCAGGCAGTGTGAACATCCAGGTAACTGGTTATCATTCCTCTCTTATGGCTGTGTCAATATTTAGACAGTAGCTGCACAGAGAGAGCTCCAAAGAAGGAACACAGTTCTGTTCTGCCTTTAAAAGCCACCAGAGCGAGGGATGCTAAATTTCCTTCAAATCAGCAGGACTTTTTTATTTATCCATTTAATTTTTAAATCAGCTCCCTAAATATTATCAACAGACCCATTTTAAGAGTAAAAGGGAGGAACTAGAGCTAGTACTACACTAGATCTATTGACAATTTGCTATAAAATTGTTAAAGAAAAGCCATGATTGTTCTTGAGGCAAGGCAACAGTGCTACAAAATGTGCAACAGTGCAGGCGGGTTTCAATTTTAAAGCATTTCTTTAAAAACATTGCAAAGCTCAGCTTCTTCTGTTATTGTGAAAAGCAAGATAAATTGTAAAATTGAACAGAAATATCCTTGGACAGGAAAGCTGTAACCCACATACAGCTGGAAACATGTCCCTGTGATCCTGATGGATGGGAATACCTTTCACTGTCCCAGAGTTCGGAAATCCAAGTATTAGGGGCTTAAAAAAACAAAAAACAAAAAAAAAACTACATAAAAGACTAGAAAAATATATATATAAAAAGAACAAAAACCCAAAAGTTATCATATAATTACCCATACCCTAACAGAAACACTACAGTTTAAGAAACATCATAATCAGATCAAAGTAAAACTGTTTAGGCAGCAGGTAAATCAGCAAATAAACACTGTATAAGAAGTTGTAGTTTTTTACTATGTAAAAAGAAATAATAAAACCATTACCGTCGGTTTTACTTTTGCATTTTGAGATCATATTATCCGTTTTAGCCTCCCTCATATTCTCCATGAATTTAGCATCCTGCTCGTTAAACTCTAACCGAAGTGTAGCCATCAAGCAATGGAAGTCAATAAAACGTGCAAAATAATTCACTGGCAGGTAAAATGGGAATCCAGTATGAAAAACTGCATCGCTTCATCAAAGCAGTACTTTGTAATTGTAATTCTGCAGAGAATATGCATTAAAGTTATGATTTAACAGAGTGAAACTTTGTGACTGTGCATGAAAAGCAGTTGATGGGTAAATGGGAAGATGGCAGTGTGATTTCCCCTGCAGAACGTCCAAGTGTCCTGGAGCAAGGCACTGAAGCCAAACCGATGCCAGATACAGCTGTGTACATAAACGTAGGAAATGTGAAAGTGTGGATGGACCTTTTAATGGGTCCAACTTCCTGTCTGGCTCATCTAGTTTTTGGAGAATTACATGTTTTGTTTCATTAACCATACAACAATAAAATAAATAAAAAGAAATTCTGATAAAGTTCTATATAAGGAAAAGAACAAAACATCAGCATCGATGTTAATGTTGCAGGGAACCAGCCTTTGAGGATCTATGTTTAGGATAATTGATCTGTTTCAATCACTACTGTACAACACTTAAAAAAAAATCAGAAAGTCAGTATGTTTAAAATGAAAAACACTGGACGAACCAAACAATGAAAAAACAGAATGAATTAGCAGACTTCATGTCATTTAGCATTTCTGGAAAAAACGAGTGACTGCAGCAAGAATCATGAGTTTACTTTTATTGTCCTAAATCAGTTTGTTAAGCTTTTTCTTTTTATTATATACCAATACATCTACACTTCTTTCAATCACAAAACATTTTAAATAAACAAATGTCTACATATGCAAATTACTATGAAAGAAAACTAAACGATATAAACATTTTGTAAACATTGAGTTAAACGTTTTAAAAAGCTTCAGCAAATACGGATGTTTTCAGAAAGAGGAGAGCTGTATGGGATCCAAAGACAGACAATTCCAGAACTTTATATGTTTTACATGTAGGACCCTCAAAGACTATATTCACGGTGCTAAATTGTGGGTTTTATTTTATTTTTTGTACCTGCAATAAGTCTGCATATTGGCGAGATGGCCGCAAAAATTTTACGATATTTAGTTTTGCCCATTAAAGAGACAATATGTGAGTTTTTACTCACTTAATATCTTTAAAATAGCCTTTTATTTGACCCTTTATAACTAAAACATTGTTTGATGAGCAGACTGAAGCCTCGGTAGTTCAGCACAGATGACTCCATAAGCCTGTAGCCTATTTTTCTGGTAAATTCAAGTGCTGTTGCGGATGTAACATTCGCCTGTCCATGTTAAACAGGTCCGGCCTAGTAAACAATCAATGCAAAGATGTATTTTGTGGATACTCAGAAGAGAGTCCAGACTGCATTAGGGCTGCAACTAACGATTATATTGCAAATCGATCTATAACTTTTTCGATTAATCGATTAATTAATTAGCAAAAGGTTCCTTAAAGTAGAATTTTTACGAAATTAAACCAGGTGAATCTAAAACGGTTCCACTTGAGGAGTTCTGGACAGAGCGTATTGACAGACGAAAAAGCTTTTTTATCTAAAATGCTAATTTTTTATTTTATTTTTTTTTACATTTTTTGTATAATTACTGCTCTAAGTGGGTCGCTCTGTCAGCCAAAGGCATTTTTTACAGTCTCTTAATACAGTTAATGATTAATCGATTACTAAATTAGTTGACGATTATTCAAATAATGGATTGATCACGAATAATCCGATTTTTCCAGCTACAGACTGCATACTGTAAAGCTGCATCAGTTTAAATAAGAAAGCGTGGTGTTTACTTATCTAGTTAGATAGGTATAGAGGAGGACGCTCTTTTTGCGGATGGATCATCAAAAGAAGTGCTCCTCCTGACTGTAAATCATTCTGGTAATATATAAGGCCGTCCTACGAGCTCGTCCCCATTTTCACTTACCGGTGGTGAGTCTGACATTGTGGAAAAATTGCAAATGTTCTTGTGGAGAGTAATCTTTTATAGACGATGCAACAGCAACTTTTAAACAGATCATGCACGAGCAGAAATGGGCTCTCGGGAGTTTTTGAAAGTATAAATATAAAAATGTTATGAGGTCTGATAAAGAGTACATTTATATACATGTTATGAATTCTGGCGTACCATAAAGAATAAATTATGAACAGTTTAGTTTGTGTGTTCAAGTCGTTGCCCATAGGAAGACGTTACTTGGATATAACCTAACGGAATATCTTCAGAACAGCTCCAAATGAGACAAAACTCATATGGGTGAGTAGAACATGATGTAATAATGTAAAATCAAGGGGCCAATGAAAGAAAAAACCGGCGTTCCCCTTTAAGGGCTGTTAATACCCTCCAGCAGTGTGTCGCAGTGAGCATGAGGTGGACATTTTTGATTTATGCTCAATTTTGAGCGTGGTACGCTGTGGGTCTAGATACGGCCGAGGCGGTGAAGAAGTGGGGGCTAGTTTGTCTGACAACAGAGAGACATGATGGTGAAATAGAGCGGGGATCCAGGTGGGAAAAGGGTCCCAGCGTTCTTGCGCACCTCGCTCTTCTAGCTGGTCAATCTTAACAAGTTGTTTTCCACAATTGCGGCTAAAAAAAGTGTCTGCGGAGGGGGCGGGGACGTCTTTTTGTTCACTGCAACACCTAAGCAGATGACCTAGTTTTATAGTATAAATCAGCCTTTACAGCCGTATACGTCGCAACGCCACCAGTTCTGTTAGCTCTACGCCTGCCGAAGACAGACGCGGTATCGATCTATTTTACTTTCAAAATCTCGTGAAATTTCATCGTTCTGTTACAAACTCTCGTGATATTTTGCAAATTCTTGTGAGATTTTGTTAGTAAAATAGATCGATACCGCGTCAATATAT